TACACGCCATTGTGCGGGACTTGGTGAATTACGAACGGGCCTTTCCATGGTGATTTCAGTTTGTGTTGGCCCTTCTTCTCCTGGATGAGGCCGCAGACATTAAATGTCTGACCTCGCACATGGAGGCTATGGTTGCGGCGCGAGCCTTGTTGGTAGAGCCGAGCAGTATAGCGCGAGCTCTTTGCCCTCCTCGACGAGGTCATGATCGTCTTATTCTCTCGAAATAGGTTTTTGCACCGCTTCATAAAAAAGCATACATTGTTTTTTTTTTTTTTGCAAAAATAACTCTTGTATTACTCAAAGTTCAGACTTACAATCCCGCCCAACAATTTCTAGGACCCCTTATGGGCCAGAGCCGGCAAACTATGGTTCAGCATTACAATCTACCAATAGTAGCCCTGAAATGACTAGCATTTTACAATTCCGGCGAGTGTGAGTAATACAAGAATTCCTCTCCCATACTACCAATGATCTCCCTAACGATGAATGAGTGCTTTGACTTGTTGCCAATACCTTACTTGATCATCGAGGTGTCCTCTAGACAATTTGATTCGACATCAATAGGTAGATTGCTCGATTGATGTGCCAATGAAATTCCGTCTTTTATAGCTAACAGTCTGCTTCCAGTGGATGAGTGCAAGTTTAAAAATGTCTGGACAAGCTAAATATGATTGCACCTTCAGAATCCCGGAGAATCATGCCAGTACCCCCTTTGCACTCCAAGTAGGAGCCATCGGTGTTGAGTTTGCTCTTCCTGGTCTCAGTTTGTTCCACGAGCTAGCCGTCGCTGCTTTATCCTTTTCATGTGAATAATGTTGCTGGTGGAAGTTAAACGCTAGCACGGCCTTACCTTTCGGATCTTCATTTGGAGGCATGCTCTGCAAGGCTTGCGGGAACGTGAGGTATCTAGCTAGATACAGAACCGAAGTTATAAACTGGGGGTAGCGGTTTGGAGTGGACGATCTCATTTCTTAGGTGCCAAATTCTCCAAAAGACCATCAGTACCGCATGCGTGTGTCCTCATCTATGCCTGCGTGTATCCTCATCTATGCCTGCTAAGAGATTGAATAGCCAATCTCTGCCTGTGTGCTTGATGCTTGTTCTATCCGACAGTCGCCACTCCGCGGACATGGCTGTCCAGAGACGAACAACATGATTACCGGAGCAAAACATGTGGAATGAGTCCTCTTCCTCACGACCACACACGGGGCACATCGCGGACACTTTCAGGTTCCTCTTAACCTTGTTCGTCCACGTTGCCAAAGAATTCGTAGCCAACGGCCATGCAAAGGGCTGTACTTTCGGAGGAACTGAACAAGGCCATATATCATTCCATCCATCCCGGCTTCCATCGGGCCTAGAACTGGTAGAGGACAGTGCAGAATTTTCTCGATCATCACTTGCGAGTCTTTATGCGCTCCGACTAGTGAACCTGCCATTCTTCTCAGGCGGCCAAGCTATAAAATCTTCCCCCAAGCGAGGAGGAGGTCTTATCTTTTCATACAATAAATTCAAGTGCAGTACAATAAAATAGCCTACTCGTCCATCCACACAAACACGTCCAAAGAAAACATAATAGAAATAAGAAAAATGACTACCAAGTGGCTGTAGTCTCAGGGACCTGCTGCGAGGCGAAAGATCTCGATATCGCTGGGACAGAAGAGATCCGACAGGAGCAGCTGTGATATGCGGCGCTCGACCACGATCCGGGGGGCTTCCGCACCGTCGTGGATGCCCCGAGCGAGAGATCTCAAACCACTGCTGCACGTACCCAGCACACTGTAGACACCGAATGAAAACAAAAATAAGCAAGCGACCGATCATTGCTCGCAACGGAACAAACAACTTTTATCAGTGACATGTGCGACCAAAAACTCTGCTGTTGCACAATAGCGAGGGATCGGCATGCGCGGTACAGGTCCTACCGTGTGCCACACGAGGGTAGCACATACGTGATTTTTGGGGCGCCTGGTACGTACACAGGTTAGGGATTAGACATGGCCAGTAGCCACACATTTCGCGATCACCCAATCACCACCAAGCGAGAAAAAGTCAGCAGAGGCAGATGGGCATTGCTCTAGCACAGAAAATGTCCATATTTACCGACCAGATGTGCCGTACCTTTTCGCCCCCAACAAATGTGCCGTGCCTGGATAGAAGTCCCTAAATGGCATGTCATGTTTCCAAAAAGAAAAAAATGGCACGTCATGTACATGTGGCTGTCCTCCAGTGTGCTCTCTTTTAAGTAGTTTGTTTACTAAAAAAAACGCTCGAATAACTATATAAACACCTGCATATTAAGTTCTGTGATGGTCATGTCACGGTCACGTGCATTGGCGGCACATCCCATCAATAATAATGTGAAGGGGAATCAACGTGCGATTGCGTACGTGCTGGACCTGGGGTATCTATCTGAGATGTGTGGCACACGTAAAAGAAGAAAGATTAACCGCGAAGCATGAGACCCTAAGAAAGACCGCGAGGCTTGAGGGGATCTGTGTTTGTGCAAACTTCTCGCACAGATCGACCACGTACACGTCCGGGAGGGGGGATGTGCCAAAATGGGCGGTCACATGCACCGGGAAGTGACAAGCCTACTGATGTATACTTCGTGCGTGACCCCACTACCCTACATCCTACTGATGTATACATCGTGTCCGACCCCGCTGCTGGGTGTGGTGTGGAACGTGCTTCAAGGTTCCAATGTCGCCCTCCTGCTCGTTCAACAAATTTTATGTGGTTTTCTCGAGCCCTAGTCGGTCGACTAGCCAACTTTCTATTGCGCATGCAGCAACTGGCATCAGCGACATTTATTTTGAGATGAAGGAAGTATATATTCTTTAGGCTGCTGGAGCTGCCTACACAAAGATCAAATGTGGCGTTCGCTCAAACTTTTCGTAGAAGAAAATATCTGGTGCACCCGGTCTCAATTGTCATTTTCGAGAATTCAATAAAATCTAAAAAGAAACAAAGGGCATGCAAACAATGAGTAGCGACACAGGAAAGTATTCAAATCCAAACTGAAAGCGCAATTGCGAAACACAAATGATATTGATGGAATTTACAACCAAATCTAGATTAGCTTACTATTCAACACGTGATTTGTCTTTTTTTTCACAAGCTATATTTGAAGTTCTGAACTTTTACAGTGATTCAATTCTTTCCAACACCTTTTTGTAAACGTCTAGACTGGTGCACGCCACATACCATAGGGCGTCATGTACATACACTCTTCAAATGGACATTTTATTTCCAAGACAAATGATTTGGTTAGCTAGCCAGGTACGCAGCTAATCATCGTGTTGCACAGCCCATCACGACTGACACACACACGCACGTGAAACACATCGCCGTGAAGCACCGCAGCCAACAATATAAACTGACACACATACTACCACGGACGCAGAGCACTTGGGAGAGCCGAGAGAGAGAGGCCGGCCCTCCTAGCTAGCTAGCTAACTAATCAGCATAAGAACAGAAGGGAGAGATCGAACCAGCTCGATCCATCGGCAGCAGCTAGCTAGCCCTGCCCGCGCCAGCCATGATCCATCTGAAGCAGCCGCTGGTGCTCTCCGCGCAGAGCAGCAATGTTGCCTCGCCACCGCTCTTCGCCACGGCGGCGGCCGCGAGCGGCCAGCAGAGGCGGGCGTCCGGCGCCGGGAGGAGCCGCTCTGGGCGCCGGCTCACGGCGCGCAGGATAAGCTGCGCGTCGACCGAGGAGGCCGTCGGCGTCTCGACGTCCATGACGACCAAGGAGAGGTCGCTGACGGTGACGGCCGTCGTGACCGCGCAGGCGCCGACCTCCGTGTACGTCGCCCGGGGCCTCGACGACATCCAGGACCTCTTCGGCAAGACGCTGCTGCTCGAGCTCGTCAGCTCCGAGCTCGACCCCAGTGAGCCTCTCCATCTTTTCTCACCACAACGATAGCATGCAGGACAGGAGAGAGCACTGTGCGTTGCATGCATGCTACAGCCAGCGGTTGATTTGATTTTTCACATGGCTGAGAAAAGTTGCTTCGATGCGTAGAGACGGGAAGGGAGAGGGAGAAAGTGAAGGGGTTCGCGCACATGACGCTCAAGGAGGGGACGTACGAGGCCAAGATGTCGGTGCCGGCGTCGTTCGGGCCGGTGGGCGCGGTGCTGGTGGAGAACGAGCACCACAGGGAGATGTTCATCAAGGACATCAAGCTCATCACCGGCGGCGACGAGAGCACCGCCATCACCTTCGACGTCGCCTCCTGGGTGCACTCCAAGTTCGACGACCCCGAGCCGCGCGCCTTCTTCACCGTCAAGGTAGGCAATTAGCCAACGGCATGCAGCTAAGCTAGCCATGAAGCCACGCTCTCTCCGTGCTTGCTTGGTTGTACTATGGAACTAACCATGGCGTGCGTATGTTGTTGCAGTCATACCTGCCGTCGCAAACGCCGCCGGGAATCGAGGCGCTGAGGAAGAAGGAGCTGGAGAAGCTGCGTGGCGACGGGCACAGCGAACGCAAGTTCCACGAGCGCGTCTACGACTACGACACGTACAACGACCTCGGCGACCCGGACAAGAACATGGACCACAAACGCCCGGTGCTGGGCACCAAGGAGCACCCCTACCCTCGCCGGTGCCGCACCGGCCGGCCCAAGACCCTCTACGGTACGTAACGTAAGCACACCGCCCTTGCTACCTGCTAAGCAATAATCTTGTTCCAAATTCTAACGATTGCCGGTGGTTGTGCTATAGACCCGGAGACGGAGAAGAGGAGCTCGCCGGTGTACGTGCCGCGCGACGAGCAGTTCTCGGACGTCAAGGGGCGGACGTTCAGCGCGACGACGCTGCGGTCGGGGCTGCACGCCATCCTGCCGGCGCTGGCGCCGCTGCTCAACAACTCGCAGTGCTTCTTGCACTTCCCGGCCATCGACGCCCTCTAAAGCGACGGCATCCCGCTCCCCGTCGACGGGCACGGCGGCACCTCCTTCAACGTCATCAACGACGTCATTCCCCGTGTCGTCCAGATGATCGAGGACACCACCGAGCACGTCCTCCGCTTCGAGGTTCCCGAGATGCTTGAGAGTGAGCACCGCCGTCCATGCCTGATCCGACAGAGCACGCAGTACACGTACAGTGCGAATCGAGCAGTTAATTACTGTGAGACCACATAGTACATGACATGACTTTGCACTTTTGTAGGGGACCGATTTTCGTGGTTCAGAGACGAGGAGTTCGCAAGGCAGACGCTCGCCGGGCTCAACCCTATCTGCATCCGCCGCCTCACGGTAATTAATCAACCATTTTTTTACAGCCTTTGATCAAGTTGCTTTTAATAAGTTCGCTTAGTTAATTAAGAGAGTGCATGCATGGTGCAGGAATTCCCCATCGTGAGCAAGCTCGACCCGGCGGTGTACGGGCCGGCGGAGTCGGCGCTGACCAAGGAGGTCCTGGAGAAGATGATGAACGGGCGGATGACGGTGGAGGAGGCGGTGGAGAAGAAGCGGCTGTTCCTGCTGGACTACCACGACGTGTTCCTGCCGTACGTGCACAGGGTGCGCGAGCTGCCGGACACGACGCTGTACGGGTCCCGCACCGTCTTCTTCCTGAGCGAGGAGGGCACGCTGATGCCGCTGGCCATCGAGCTGACGCGGCCGCAGTCGCCGACCAAGCCGCAGTGGAAGCGCGCCTTCACGCACGGCCCCGACGCCACCGAGTCGTGGCTGTGGAAGCTGGCCAAGGCGCACGTGCTGACCCACGACACCGGCTACCACCAGCTGGTCAGCCACTGGCTGCGCACGCACGCCTGCGTCGAGCCCTACATCATCGCCACCAACCGGCAGCTCAGCCGGATGCACCCGGTGCACCGCCTGCTGCACCCGCACTTCCGCTACACCATGGAGATCAACGCGCTGGCCAGGGAGGCGCTCATCAACGCCGACGGCATCATCGAGGAGGCCTTCTGGCCGGGGAGGTACTCCATCGAGCTCAGCTCCGTCGCCTACGGCGCGGCCTGGCAGTTCAACACGGAGGCGCTGCCGGAGGACCTCGTCAGCCGGGGGCTGGCCGTGCGCAGGGACGACGGCGAGCTCGAGCTCGCCATCAAGGACTACCCGTACGCCGACGACGGGCTGCTCATCTGGGGCTCCATCAAGCAGTGGGCGTCCGACTACGTGGACGTCTACTACAAGTCGGACGAGGACGTGGCCGGCGACGAGGAGCTGCAGGCGTGGTGGGAGGAGGTGCGCACCAAGGGGCACGCGGACAAGAAGGACGAGCCGTGGTGGCCCGTGTGCGACTCCAAGGAGAACCTCGTCCAGATCCTCACCATCATCATGTGGGTCACGTCCGGCCACCACGCCGCCGTCAACTTCGGGCAGTACCATTACGCCGGGTACTTCCCCAACCGTCCGACGGTGGTGCGGAGGAACATCCCGGTGGAGGAGAGCCGGGACGACGAGATGAAGAAGTTCATGGCCAGGCCGGAGGAGGTGCTGCTGCAGAGCCTCCCCTCGCAGATGCAGGCCATCAAGGTGATGGCGACGCTGGACATCCTCTCCTCGCACTCCCCCGACGAGGAATACATGGGAGAGTACGCCGAGCCGGCGTGGCTGGCAGAGCCCATGGTGAAGGCGGCATTCGAGAAGTTCAGTGGCAGGCTCAAGGAGGTGGAGGGCACCATCGACCAGCGAAACAACAACCCGGATAACAAGAACAGGTGTGGCGCCGGCATCGTGCCGTACGAGCTGCTCAAGCCGTTCTCAGAACCAGGGGTCACTGGGAGGGGCATCCCCAACAGCATCTCCATCTGACTGTGGCCCCAGGACAAGATATCACTGCATGTAGGATTAGGAATAAGATGTGCACCATGTACGCACCCAGCAGCGATTGCTCCCGTCCCGTGCATGACAGGGGCCGGGAGAGGCATCTACTAGTGTGTTCCCGCTATTGTATGCCGTGAATTAGTAGTACTAATAAGGTTATTTGAATTGTGACCTCATCGAATCCTAATTAGGTAAGAAAGAGTGGGCATCTACATGCATTCCTGGACAGATCATACTGTACCGTATCATTTGGAGCACGCCATACAAAACAAAACAATCACATCAAGACATGTGAACCGAGCAGCATTGTAAGATCAGGACCAGCCCACATCAGATCCTGTGTTTGGGGCCAGTGTCGACTGGCTAACGAGCTTCTTGTCCACACATTTACAAGACTGAAGGGGCATATAGACAGAACTACATAAGTGGAGAATGGGTATACGTGGATCTGCCCCTTGGAATCACTACTTACAAGAGCACTCCTAGCAGCATCCCATGTGAGCCAAACTGAGTCCAACCAAGCAATACATGAGACAAAACGCTAATAATACTGATTGCCATGCTTGCATAAATTTTCAACCAGAGTGAAGCAGGGGAGCAGAGTTTACTTTTCTTACTTCCACATAGTCGAGCATCGCATGGTGTCTTCTGCAGTCGGCACGTCTCAGTGCAGTAATTTTGGCTGTCGTCAATTGGCATCGACAGAAACTTGTAAAGAGCTGTGACGCTTCATATACTCGGAGCTACCTCGACAACACAAAGTATAACAGCATCTGGCAAAATTTGAGAAGAGCATGTCTTCGTCACCGGGAGATGCAGCTCTCAGTTGCACCCTGGCTGACTGATCAGAGCAATCAAATCAAGACTAAGATGTGAAGAGTATAAGAAAGAAGCTGCACTATCAAGTGAGTTACCCGTGGAAGATGGCTCAAAATACGGTCGGGTTGTTATGAAAGAGGGGTCCTGAGCATCAGCCTCCAACTTATGTATCGTGTTGCTCTCGACAAGCTTTACTAATTTGTCTGTTATGACTTTCATCGGCGGGCGGGAATCCGGTGACTGCTGCATTGAAGGAAGAAATAACATAAGTATCGCTCGAAGCATGGATGTGCGGGTGCGGTCACTTAATAGATTATGTAATACTCGAGCTGTCAGTTGTCCGGTGCACTATGTAATATCTTTTGTTTCTATTTCTTTTTTTCTTTTGGGGTGCCGTTTGGCACATGCTTGGTGACTTTGTAAATATTTAAGGCTCTGTGCATCAATTTTTTATGAAGAGTCCAGGAGACAATAAAGCTCTTCCTTTAACTAAAGGAGGAAGTACTGCTCGTAGAAAATTCTCCTGAAATACAGTTGGTGAATGCAGTGAGCATTAGACATTGTAGTGGCTTTAGACATTTCAGCTATAATACCTTTCGTTTCTATTAACATGTTCTAAGCATTTACCATAGCAGCATGGGCAGTATTTGAGTTTTCACCTTGATAGCTGCCAGCAAGGATAAGAAACTATAGAACAAAGTGTACCAGAAAAGAGAATGGAAAACTACCTTGATGCAAAGCAAGATGATGTTGCCTAATGCAGAAATAGCTTTAGGTGGCATAGAGCCACGTATTCTTGGATCCGTTATTCTTCCCAGAGAATTAAGGTCATAGAGATGAGGGGATGCCCAATCAACTAGAAACTGGTCATTTGGCCCTCTTGAACTGAAGAAGACAATAAACCTTCAGTAAACCAGACTGCTAGTAGCACAAGTGCAAGTGATAACATACCTGTCAAAAGCCTTTTGCCCAGTCAAAAGCACAAGCAATATCACGCCAAAACTGTAAATATCAGCTTTGATTATATCTGTTCCTGAACCATTAGCCTCAGGAGCAGCATAGCCTTTAGCACCACTGAGGGCTTCTGAATCCTGCTTCCCAAATGAGGAAATGTTAAATGGCCAACAAATCAATTTTATGTTATATAGTGCAGTATATCATTCAAACTGGATAAATCAGATGCTGCGGCCTATTGTGTATATTTGGATGGGCATGACATGGGTAGATTAACGGGTTTCAATTGGTTAGAGGGGAATCTCTCCTACGCAAATATCACCCCAAAACTTCAGAATTACCACATGTTACATGTACGAGTGTTCGGTAATCTAGCTTGACACTGAATAAGAAAATTATAATCTGAGAGAGAGAGATAGAGCAGTTCTATGTTTTAGGTTCTAATGCATCCATCCCTCTCAAATTTGAATCCCAGATCATTCAAGTGTCCTCAAAGTGATCAGGTAAATTAACGGCATCAGCATGCTTTCTTGAAAAGATCATAAAGTAGCAATACTATCCTTGGTTACCGAGCACTGACCATTCTTGTGGCGCTGACAAAATGGCTGAACTTCGCTAACCCACAGTGACTGAGGTAGGGCATGAGCTGAGCGTCAAGTAAAATATTTGTAGCTTTAATATTTCCATGGGCAAATGGAGGGGAGCACATCAAATGTATGTATCTGCAGAGAGCTAACATAGATATAAAAATCCAGAAATTCCAATTCCAGTATAAAAGTTTACTAATTTTTCATGTGTGCAACTAAAATATGAAAAATAATACGAGGTAGGTGTAATTAATTACTCTGCAGCACAAAATAAAACTGATTAGACGATTTGGTGGGAACCCAATGAGACAGAATGTACTTACTCTAGAGCATAGGTAACCCCAAGAGCAATCTTCATCCGAGCTTTCCATGACAAAGCCCTCGACCTTGTGGCTGCTGAAAACAGAAGATCTTCAAGAGAACCATTTTCTGCATACTCATATAAAAGCACACAATGCCCAAACTCCACACAGTAGCCCACAAGCGAAGATATATTAGGGTGCTTTAATCTGGACATATTCCCAAGAATGTCCATGAGCTCATCTTGTTCTGATAATGATAAATCTATCATGTTGATCTTCTTGATAGCCAGCAGCTGTGCATACAATGAGAAATGCATGACGTAAAATATACATAACAAATGACTTGTACAAATTTGATACCTTCGCAACTTAGGAAAATGACTATCTAATAAACCACTGAAACCATTTCTAAAAAATAAACCACTGAAAGAAAATCACAGTTTTAAAAGTGACATGTGAGACTAAGAATGGCGTGCTCCTTGTACGTTGACCTTATCAAGACAACAAGCATGAGCATAGCTACAGCCCTCAATACTGCATGATGAGATGTCTTGTCGATGAGGAAACGAAAGGGTTCGATTTAGTTTAGTCAATAAAACCAGATAAAGAAGTCAGCTATTAGGAATCTAAAATACAAGCTACAGAAATTAGACTTGAGAGCTTATTCTAGAATAACACATCAATAATATAGAAAGTTAATAATGATACGTTTCTTATGATAAGAGACCATACCTGCCCATCAGGAAAATCACCTCTGTAAACTCGGCCAGTGAAACCTTCACCGATAAGGCATTCTTCATTGAAGTTCCGGGTAGCCGCCATAATGTCAACTGCCAGAAACTGTTTTGCAGGTGCAAGATTTTTAGATGTCTTAGCCCAACTTTTCCTTTTCGGAACTCTTCCAGGTATAATGCTATCATTATTGCTAGAGGAAGTATCATGGCCAATCATAAGAGAACTCCAAGAGTTCAGGACCTCATTTGCTTTAGGGACTGCAATTGACAAATGAATTTTAATTAAATGGAAGAATGCAAGTCTGGCCTAATAAAACATTAGAATGCAGTATGCGAAGTTGAAAACAATATGTATGTGGATGAATTTGATATGTCATTTCATGAATAAGCATTCAAAAGTACAAGGGTTTAGGATCAATGATTACTGTCATATTTTACAGTAGATTAATGGTGAGTGATAAGAATAACCGAAACAAACAGAAATATTTGTATGATCAATTGACAATCAACTACCACTGCATAAATTGGTTTGAAGAAACTAATAAAGTGCCAGTGCTACCTCCTTCCAAATTGGCTGGTAAAGACTTGATATTGTCAGCGGTGCTCTTCGGGCCACATGTACCACCTTTCCGGCTTTTCAGAACCAATCCAACAATGAAGAGTGCAAACATTGTGCAAACAACGCTAGCTATTGCAGCAGCTGTCACTCGAGAGTGTGACTTCCTATGGTGGCTAGGACTCTGCAGAGAAGCGTAGCTCACAAAAGGTTGCAGAGGTTTCGGCCCGCGCTTTGAGTTCTGCTTGACAGCTGGTGAAGGTGGAGGTGGAGGTGGAGATGGAGGTCGAGGATGATGTGGGGGTGGAGGTGAATGAATGGTCCTAGAAAATGAGGACGATGAAGGTTTGAAACCTGGTTGAAAATGGTTCCCATCAATCCTGGAATATTGACCAGAAGGTTAATCACATATTGTACTAGATATGAAGTCAGACATACAGATATGCACAAGATCCTCAAGGGTGACAGGGAGGGCAATATATAACAGAGTTCAGTACCTCAACTCAGAAATGAACTCAAAAGTTCCAGGCACATAACCGCTGAAGTGATTATTCTCAATGTTGCTGCAAGAAGTTGATGATCATCAGCATTAATTGATAAGATGGAAAATAAAGTATAAATGCAGCCCAGTCAAACTTCTTACAGTGCTACCAATGGAAGGTCTGCTAACAAAATCACAGATCCGGTAAACTCATTATGCTGTAAATAACTGCAAAAGCATGCAAGGAAACTTTTGATTAGACATTTCCTACGCTGTGTGTGCATGAAATAGCACAGAAGGGACATCATTATTACAGATAGTGAAGGTTGTTCAATGAACTAAATGATCTTGGCAGGTCGCCATCGAAAGAGTTGAATGACAGGTCCCTGAAAGCATCGAGGGAACAAATATGAGTCTGAGTGACAGAAAGATCAAAATACTAAAAGATCTGTGACTACAATACTTTTGAAAAATAGTGTATCAGAGCAAGAAAGATGCAAAAAGTACTTTAGCTTCAAAATGTGTGTGTGCATGTGTTTGTTCCATTGCGATTAA